AATGGTGTTGGGAAAACTGGACAGCCACATGCAAAAGAATGAAAGTAGACCATTAGTTCACACCATACACAAAAAGTAACTCAAAATGGATTAAAGACTTAAATGTAAGACCTGAAACCGTAAAACTTCTAGAAGAAAACACAGGCGATACACTCTTCAACATTGGTCTTTGCAACATCTTTTCCAATACCATGTCTGACCAGGCAAGGGAAACGCAAGAAAAAATAAACAAATGGGACTACATCAAACTAAGAATCTTCTGCACAGCAAAGGAAACTATCAACAAAATGAAAAGACAGCCTAACAATTGGGAGAAGGTATTTGTCAACCATATATCTGATAAGGGCTTAACCTCCAAAATATATAAAGAACTCATACATTTCAACAACAAAATAACAAACAACCCAATTGAAAAATGGGCAAGAGATCTGAACAGACGTTTTTCCAAAGAAGATATACAGATGACCAACAGGCTCATGAAAAGATGTTCAACATCACTAATTATTAGGGAAATGCAAATCAAAACTACAATGAGATATCACCTCCCACCCATCAGAATGGTTATAATTAACAAGGCGAGAAATAACAAGTGTTGGAGAGGATGTGGAGAAAAGGGAACTCGCATACACTGGTGGTGGTGATGTAAACTGGTGCGGCCACTATGGAAAACAGGCTGGAGATCCCTCAAAACATGAAGAGTAGAACTACCATATGATCCAGCTATTCCACTGCTGGGTATTTATCCAAAGAACAAGAAAACACGAATGCATAGAGATATATGCACCCCTGTGTTCATTGCAGTATTATTTACAATAGCCAGGACTTGGAAACAACCTAAGTGCCCATCAAGGGACAGATGGATAAGAAGATGTGGTATATATACAATGGAATACTACTCAACTATAAAAAAAAGATGAAATCTTGCCATTTATGACTACATGGATGGACCTTGAGGGTATTATGCTAAGTGAAAAAGTCAGACAGAGAAAGTCAGATACTGTATGATCTCACTCATAAATAGAAGATAAAAACAACAACAGCAACAACAAACAAACATAGATACAGAGATTAGGTTGGTGGTTACCAGAGGGGAAGTGGGGGGAGAGGAGAGCAAAAGGGGTGACTGGGCACATGTGTACAGTGATGGATGGTAGTAAGTCTTTGGATGGTGAACATGATGTAATCTACACAAATCAAAATATAATGATGTACACCTGAAATTTATATAATGTTATAAACCAGTGTTGCCTCAATAAAAATCAATCAATCAAACAATCAATAAAGAAGTGTCAGAGAATTCGAGAGAAAGTTAAGATAGAGTGTGGTCACAGAAGCTAAGGCAAGAGAGGAGTAGGAAGAAATCAGCTTAGTCAAAGCTGCAGAGAATACAAATAAAACAAGTGGGAGGGATAGGGATGGGGGTGAGATCATGATTACGGAAAGTAGAAGGTCGTTGATGACTTCTAATGAAGATGGCAAAAGGCAATAGGTTTGGGAGTCCATGGGAAGAGGAGACAGAAATCAATGACTTCTTCAAGAACACTGATTGTAAAGAAAAGGAGAATGAGGCTAGAGGCCTTTTTTTCCCTTCTCTTGCAACAAACAGGTAGAATTTTTTAAAGGAAACTTGAATATTTACAGGTATAATCATATATATTTAAAGGGTACAACATTAGGATTTGGTATACATATACACTGTAGAATGATTGCCAAGATCAAGATAATTAACATATCCATCACCTCACATAGTTAACATAGTTAACTCTTTTGTGTATGTGTGTAGTGAGAGTGTTTATCTACTCTCAGTAACTTTCAAGTGTACAATACCGTATTATTAACTATAGTCACCATGCTGTACATTAGAGCCTCAGAAGTTATTCTTCTTATAACTGAAAATTTGTACCCTTTGACTTACATCACCCTCATGTCCCGCTTCCGCAGACCCTGGCAACCACCATTCTATTCTGTTTCTATGAAATTGGTTTTTTGGGTTTTTTTTTAGATTCCATGTGTAAGTGATACGATACAGTATTTGTCTTTCTCTGTCTGGCACTTAGCATAATGCCCTCCAGATTCATCTATGTGTTGCAAATGGAAGGATTTCCTTCTTTTTTTTATGGCTAAATAACATTCCCTTTTATGTATACACCATATTTTCTTTATTCATTCATTCATTGAAGGACATTTAGGTTGTTTCCATATCTTGGCTTATTGTGTATAATGCTACAGTGAACACGGAAGTGCAGATATCTCTTGGAGATACGATTTCAATTCCTTCATATATATAATCCGGAGTGAGATTGCTGGATCATTTCATAGTTCAATTTTTAATTTTTTGAAGAACTGCCATACCATTTTCCATAGTGGCTGTAGCACCATTTTATGTTCCTATCAACAATGTACGAGGGTTCCCTTTTCTCCAAAACCCCACCAACATTTGTCATCTCGTCTTTTTTATAATAGCCATCCTGACTGGTGTGAGGTATCTCATTGTGGTTTTGATTTGCATTTCCCTGATGATGAGTGATGTGGAACACCTTTTCATGTACCTCTTGGTCATTTCTGTGTCTTCTTTGGAAAAATGTCTATTCAGATCCTTTGCCCATTTTTTAATCAGATTGTTTGGTTTTTTGCTGTTGAGTTGTATGAGTGCTTTATATATTTCGGATATTAACCCCTTATCAGACAGATGGTTTGTGAATATTTTCTCTCATTCTGTAGGTTGCCTTTTCCATTTATTGATTAGAGCTCTTTAGTTTAATATAGTCCTACTTGTTTATTTTAGCTTTTGTGATCTGTGCTTTTGGTGTCTTATCCAAGAAATCATTGCCAAGACCAATGTCAAGGTTTTTTCCCATATATTTTCTTCTAGGAGTTTTACAATTTCAAGTCTTATGTTTAAGTCATTGATCCATTTTGACAATTTTTGTGACTGGCGTACAATAGGGGTCCAGTTTCATTCTTTTGCCTGTGGATATCTAGTTTCCCCAGCACAATTGTTTCAGGAGGCTGTCCTTTCCCCATTGTGTATTCTTGACACCATTGTCAAAAATTAGTTGACTGTATATGCCTGGGTTTGTGTCTGGGCTCTCTGTTCTATTCCATTGGTCTGTGTGCCTGTTTTTATACTAGTACCGTACTGTTTTTATTACTAGAGCTTTGTAAGATAGCTTGAAATCAGGAAGTGTGATGCCTCCAGCATTGTTCTTCTTTCTCAAAATTATTTTGGTTATCCAGGGTCTTTTGTGGTTCCACACAAATTTTAGGATAGTTTTTTCTATTTCTGTGAAAAATGCCATTGGTATTTTGATAGGGATTTCATTGAATCTGTATAACACTTTAGGTAGTATGGACATTTTAACAATATTAATTCTTCCAGTCCAAGAAGATGGGATATCTTTCCATTTATTTGTGTCTTCTTCAAGCTCTATCGTCAATGTCTTACAATTTTCAGAGTACAGATTTTTCACCTCTTTGTTTAAACTTATTCCTAAGTATTTCATTGTTTTCAATGCTATTGTGAATGGTATTGCTGTCTTAATTTCTCTGTCATATAGTTTGTTGTTAGTGTATAGAAATGAAACTGGTTTCTGTATGTTAATTTTGTATCCTACAACTCTACTGAATTCATTTATTAGTTCCAACAGTTTTTTGGCAGAATCTTTAGGGTTTTCTATATATAACATGATGTCATCTGCAAACAGAGACAATTTTACTTCTTTCTTTCCTATTTAGATGCCTTTATTTCTTTTTCTTGCCTAATTGCTATGGCAAGGACTTCCAGTATTATATTAAATAGAAATAGTGAGGGCCTCCTGGCTTAGCGGTTGATTGCGCGCGCTCCACTGCTGGCGGCCTGGGTTCGGATCCCAGGCGTGCACCAACGCACCGCTTCTCCGGCCATGCTGAGGCCGTGTCCCACATACAGCAACTAGAAGGATGTGCAGCTATGACATACAACTATCTACTGGGGCTTTGGGGGGAAACAATAAACACATAAAATCTTTAAAAAAAAAAAAAAGAAATAGTGAGAATGGGCATCCTTGTCTTGTTCCTAATGTTAGAGGAAAGGCTTTTAGCTTTTGACTATTGAGTATGAGGTTAGCTGTAGGCTTGTCATATATGGCCTTTATTATGCTGAGGAATATTCCTTCTAATTTGTTGAGAGTTTTTATCATAAAGAGATGTTGAATTGTGTCAAATGCTTTTTCTGCATCTATTGAAATGATCATATGACTTTTATCCCTCATTCTGTCTATGTGGTGTATTACATTCATTGACTTGCATCTTTTGAACCATCCTTGCATCCCAAGGATGAATCCCACTTGATAATGGTTTGTGATCTTTTTAATGTGTTCTTGAATTCAGTTTTCTAGTATTTTGTTGAGGATCAAACAAGTAGGACTGAATGTTGGGTGGTTTGTGTATTTAAGATGGAAGAGCGTATTGATAAACAAAGGGATGGAAAATGGAAAGCTGAAGATACAGAAGAGAGAAAACACTCCAGAAGGGCTGTGCAGAGTGCTGTGCACAGGGGCAGGGATCAGCTTGACTCAGAACTGGAAGGAAAAAGGAGGATAAAAGAGTAGACAGTGGATGGGGATTGATAGAATTTTGTATAGAGAAAGGCAAGGAAGTTGAAATTGCTCATACCTAATGGCATGTGAAAGTAATCTTCCCAGATAAGAGGAAAGGGGTAGGCAGGAAGAGGGGTGGCAATGAAGGAGGTAGATTAAAGCACTTGAGAAGAGTGATGCAAGACTTCAGCAGGATGGAAACCTCCATTCATTTTGTTCAAAGCACTGTTAAGATAATGCTGATTTGCCACGGTAATAGTTTTCAGATTTCTCATAATGTACTTTCAGCTGGGAAATGGCATCCTCCTGCCAAGTTATTTCTCCCTGGCAATTGAGTCTGTTACCAAAGTTTGCAGATATGTTCCTAATAACCCCAAAGACGAATCTAAATACAATGATGTGCCTGTCTCTAAATCCCAACAGAAACACGCCTACAAGTCATGTAAGCCCCTGAGTTCCTGGGTTAATGATCTCATCCAGCGACTGAATTTCTTCAACACCTGGGCCAAAATGGCTTACACTGCAATACATCGTAGGTATGAATGAAAGCTGCTTCCCATTTCTCCCTTATTTTTGCTTAGAGCTTAACAGTTTACAATGTAATTTCACATGCTTGGCCTCTTTGGGTTCTCACAGCAACGTGTGAATTAAGCAAGAGAGGGATTCTTATCTTCAGACTAGGATGAGGAAACGGAGACCTAACAGGCTGAGAATCTCGTCCAAGTTCACTCCACTCTAAGAGACAGAGAGAACCAGAACGTAGTACATCTCTCTTTCCACTGTTCTAAATTGCGTCTTGTGAAATTAGCAGGGGGAGTATGAAAAGAAATAAGAATTTGTTACATGTAATTTTTAAATGTGTTTAATACATAATACAAAATACATGAGAGTAGCTAACACTTGATGAGGGCCTCCGTGTATTTACTCACTTGCTTAACTCTGTAGTAACCCTACGATAGAAAGTACGTACTGTCACTTATCATCAGCCTCATTTTAGAGATGAGGAAACTGAGGCACAGAGATGTGAAGTAGCTTGCCCAAGGTTGCATAACTAGAAAGTGGAAGCATTGAGATTTGAACCCAGAAAATCCGATTCCAAAGTCTGTGCCAAACTGCCCCTTACACCATTTAACAATAAGGGAGTGTTACTATGTGTCCCTTTAGAGAGGTCAGTAACTCAAAAACAACCCACAAGATTCCACAAGGCCCAGCCAGGACTTCCACTATAATAACAATGTCCCTTGTTACCCAAATCCATTGCCTTCCAGCTCTTTGTGGTCTCATGAGCTTTAAAGCCATAGCTGGTTTCCCTTAAAATACAGGACAAGGGTCCTGAGTGGGGGAGAGCTTGAGATGAAAAGGAAAGGAGGGACTGGAGGAAATTGCTCTGATCATCTGAAAGTGTGCAGTTATTATGCCCACTCCAGCCTGTGGTCTGCCTTCCAACAGGTATATGAAATTTATCTCAGCTTGGAAGCACAATATTCCATCATCTGGCCAAAAACCCAAACACCCTGCTGATCAGAAGAGTGATTTCCTTGAAGGATTTCCTGCAAGATACTGGCTCCCAGCTTTCTTCTTTCCCCAAGGTGAGCCTGGGAGCCAGGACCAGCCCCACACCCGGCCCAGGCAGGCTGGACCCAGTCCCCCCACCGCCACTCTCCCTTTCATCCTCTCATTTAGGATGAGATGCCCAAACATCCTCTCATTTAGGATGAGGTGCCCCCCACAGGTACCAGGGCCTCCTGCATCCCCTGGAGCGGTCTCTCTTCTCCCTCCCCACCCTCTCCCTCCCTCTTTCCTGTCTCCTCACACCAGGATAGAGCATCCTTGTCAGACCTCACCTGCACCTCGGTGGGTGTCTCACTTGCTCATCTCTAGGCCACTGATTCTATCACATCAAAGGCTGTCACTAGACCCCTCCCAAAGGCCACTACATTTTAAGAGGGGACTCCTGGAGATGGGCACCTACCCAAGGGCTTCATTCTGTGCTTCAGCCATTTTCATTCATTTATTCATGTAACAAGAATTAATGAATGAATGTTTACTGGCTCCTGGGCCCCACCTGCTCAGCACAAACGCCCAGCAGGAAAGATAGACGTCCAACCGGCACAACAATCGTTAGGACAATGTGCAGTCAGGGTGTAGTGGGAGCTCACTAGGCTGTGAGCTCCACGAGGGCAGGAGCAGGGCTGGTTTCACTCCCTGTTGTGTCCAAGCACCTGAGGCATCCCTCAGCTCCTAAAGGGCTCTCGATGAATATCTGAAGAATGAATGAATGACTTTCTGTGTGAACATAGGAATGAATGAGTACTTTTGGAGCATAAAACAGAGAGACCTAAACGAAGGGTTAGGGAAGGCCACTAAGGAAATAACTTCTAAGATGAGACTTGAAGCGTGCGACCAGGTGAGTGTTATCCAGGTGGGGATAGTATAAAAGAAGAACAATTAACACCCTTACATAGAACATACTGGGTGCCAGTATATATTAAGTCATTCAGTTCTCAGGACAATCTTATCGACTTGTTACTATTATTATCCCTATTTTCAAATAGGAAATCCTTGGCACAGAGAAGTTAAGTAATTTGCCCAAAGTTGCACAGCTAATAAAAGGTGACTGAGCCAAGATTTGAACTTAGCCTGTCTGACTTGAAAATTTACATGCTCGACCACTGCACTAAACTGGGAATAGCATTGTTATTAGAGAGAATACCGTTCAAAGGCCCAGAGGTGAGGGGGAAAAAATGCATATTAGAGAAACCAAGTGTTCATCACGGCCAGAGCGAAAGACCCACAAAGGAGACTGGTGTAGGAGGAAGCTGGGAAGATGGGCATGGGCCAGCTCCCGGGGGCTAGGTAAGGCACACTAAAGGAGTCTACTCCATCCGGCGGCAGTGAGGACCACTGACATGTTTCAGGCCGTAACGTCGTGGTCTGATGGCTGCAGCGTGGAAGCGCCAGGCTGGAGTCTGGCTCCCAGTTATTTAGGAGTCTGCTTTACTCTCTAGGCGAGAGCTGTTGGTGCCCTGGAGTAGGACAGTGGTAGTGAGGAAGAAGAGAAGTAGCTGACGAGAAGCACATTTAGGAGGCAGAACCAACTGGACTCCATGTCTGAGAGGATGGCGGCGGGGGGTGTTAAGCATGACTCGCAGCTTCCTGGCTTGGAGAGCTGGGTGGATGCTGATGTCATTTACTGAAACAGGGAACACAGGGAGAGGAGCACACTGATGAGGAATAAAATGAGAGTCCTGCCGAGTTTGAGATGTTGGGAGAACACAGACACAATGGCCAGTAAGCAGTTGGTTACACAGGTGGAGCTCAGGAGAGATGTCTGGGCTGAGCAGAGACCATGTGGCCAGCGGTCACTGGATACCTCAGACAAGGCCACATGTGACAGCTGCTGCCACAGGCCCAAAGGGGGTCAAAACCCAGGTCTTGTCTCCTGGAGGCTGCAGGGGTGCCCAGAGGAGGGCGGGGTCACTTCTGGCTGGGCCAGTAGAGACGGCTTTCTGAACCTTGAAGAATTACAGGGAAATTTGAGAAAGATCATCCAAGGCAGGTGGTGTGAGCAAAGACACAATGTCCGGAGCACTGTCTACATGGACATTTCCTGTAGCAGTGGAGTAGGGAGACATGCCTGTATGGCAGGGTTTGAATGGCCCAGTTAAGGAGACTAAAATTCACTCTGAGCGCTGATATGGTGGATCCTGGGCAGGGGCGTTACAATTTATGCAGAATGGATTACACAATGGAAAGGGGCTGGTGGCAAGAAGAACAATCGAGTTGTGCTAGGTATCTTGGTATCAAGATGCAGAGTGCAGTCCAGGCTTGCTTAAGCAAAACAGGGCAAGTGATAGGCTCATATAAATGTAAGGAAGTCAAGGGGTTCTGGCTTCAGGCATGGCTGAATCCAGGTGGGCCGTTGTCCTCTGCGTCGTTCTCAGCTTGCCTCCTCATATCTTAGCTGTTTCCCCTAATTTGTTTCTGCTGCACTAGCCAACCAATGGGAAAAACGGCCCACAAAACAGCTTAGCAACTCCGGAGGAAAAAGAGCCTTCTTTTTCCCAGTGTCCGTATGTCATTTCCTGAGAAAGACTGACACACTTGGGCCTTGTACTTATTTGCTCCTGGGACCCATCTTTGTTGCCAGGAGGATGAGGTACTATGATCAGCCAAGATTGGGTCAGAAGTGGATAAGGTCCCAGGATCCGTAGCCCCTCTATACCTACAATGAATATGGGAGGGGCACTGGACCTACAAAAGCAACCCACATTCCTCAGGAGGCTCATGCGGCTGGCCAGACCAATATCACCAAGGCCTGAGTGAGGCGGCTGGATTCCCACTTGCCTGCCACCCAGCCCAGCCTCACAGCCATCTCTTGCATTTCCTGACTCTCTTCTCCACCCTTCCTTCCCCATGAGACATCAGTGTTGCTAACCCCCACAAGAAACTTTGGGAAGCACACAGGCCCTGAATCCTCGAGATCACAAGGAACTTGTTGGTATCTGTTTTTCTCCAAAGCTTTTCTTACAGCTGTGCTTCAAGACTATGGAAGGTCCCAAGGAATCTCTATAGACGCCCTCACCTTTACCCACCACGTGATCTCTGACACCACTGATGTCGAAGACAAGGAGTTCTCCATAGTCATCCAGAAGAAACTCAACATGGTCAGGAGAGCCTTTAAGGTACTGGAGTACTTACAAGACTGGAAGGAGGAATCATTCATTCACTCACTCAGTCACTCAATCATTCCTTCAACACACCTTTATTCAGCACTTACCATGTGCCAGGCACTATGCCAGGGACTGGACAGGCAGCATAATTGAGGCACAGTCCCCCTTCAAGTCCACATGCCACCAAACTTCATCTCTCCCACTCTTTCTCTAGGGGACAGAAGAATTATAAATAAATTCAATGAATAAAAGATTTAAATAAATACAATAAATTAGCTTTATAACTATCCTCTGTTATAAAGGAAGACTGAATGCTGCTGAGGTCGGGATTTAAAGGTGATATATCAATCAGTGGGGCAGACTTCTCCTCATGGCTGCTCGCAGCTCAACTGCCTGCCCCCGACAACCCGCTTATTCCAGAGTTCAGCCGGGCTCCCAGTAGGGAACCTCGGGGCCCTCAGCAAAGGCGCGGAGAGTGACCGGAGGAGGCGGCTGAGGTGGGGAGCACAGAGTGTGCAGACAGTCAGACGCCCAGAGCAAACCCCAGCCCTGTCACTCTCCCGCCACTGCCCCTCCTGATTTGAAGGGCCAGGGTTGTTGTCTATTCCAGTCTGCTCTAGGAATCCATTTTCTACTCCAGGACCAAGGCCACACAGGTCTGGAAGTTTTCAAGTTATGTGTGGACACTTGGTAGAGCAAGTCAGTCCTCATTTTTCCTTTTTTTTAATCAAATTTTTATCTTATTACTTCTTTTCCATTTTTTTATTATGGCAAAATGTATATAACATAAAATTTATCATTTTAACTATTTTTAAGTATACAGTTCAGTGACATTAAGCACATTCACAATATTGTGCCACTATCCATCTCCAGAACTTTTTCATCTTCCCAAACTGAAACTCTGTCCCCATTAAACACTTACTCCCCCTTCCAGCCATCCCAAACACCGCTCTGCTTTTTGTCTCTATGAATACGACTACTGCAGGAACCTCATATAAGAGAAATCATATAGTGTTTGTCCTTTTGTGACTGGCTTATTTCACATAGCACAATGTCTTCAGAATTCACCTATGTGGTAGCATGTGTCAGAATTTCCTTCATTTTTTAAGACTGAATAATATTTCATTGTATGTATAGACCACATGTCTTAGCTCAGGCTGCCATAACAAAATACCACAGACTGGATGGCCTAAACAACAGAAATGTGTATTCTCACAATTCTGGAGGCTGGAAGCCTGAGATCAGGATGCTGGCTGAGGGCTCTATTCCTGGCTTGTGGGCAGCCACCTTCTCACTATGTCCTCACCTGGCCTTTCCTTGGTGTGTGTGCATGGAGAGAGTGAGCGAGCTCTCATGTCTCTTCTCAAAAAGACGCTAATCCTATTGGATCAGGACCCCACCCACATGACTTCATTTAACCTTAATTACTTCTTTAGAGGCCTATCTCTATATACAGCCACACTGGTGATAGGGCTTCAACTATGAATTTGCGGGGGACAGAGACATTCAGTCCATAGCATCACACTTTGTTCATCCATTCATCTGTCAGTGGGCACTTGGGTTGCTTCCATCTTTCAGCTAATAGTGCTGCCGTGAACATGGGTGTGCAAATACCTGCGTCCCTGCCTTCAATTCTTTTGGGTATATATCTAGGAGTGAAATTGTTGGATCATATGGTAATCCTGTTAAATTTTTTGAGGAAATACCATACTGTTTTCCATAGCCGCTGTACCATTTTACATTCCCACCAACAGTATATAAGGGTTCTAATTTCTCCACACTCTCACCACACTTGTTATTTTTCTGGTTTTTGATAGTAGCCTTCCCAGTGGATATGAAGTGATATCTCATCATGGTTTTGATTTACATTTCCCTAATGACTAGTGGTGTTGAACATCTTTTCACTTATTGACCATTTGTATATCTTTTTTTGATAAATGTCTATTCAAGTCCTTTGCCCATTTTTTAATCAGGATTTTGTGTTGTTTTTGAATTGTAGGAATTCCTTATATATTCTGGATATTAATCCCTTATCAGATATATAATTTGCCAGTATTTCCTCCCATCCTGTGGGTTACCTCTTCACTCTGGTGATAGTGTTCTTGGATGTACAAAAGTTTTTAATTTTTATGCAGCCCTATTTATCCATTTTTTGTTGTCTGTGCTTTCGGTGTCATATCCAAGAAATCGTTAACAAATCCCATGTCATAAAACTTTTCCCCTATGTTTTCTTCTAAGAGTTTTTATAGTTTTAGCTCTATAGTTTAGGTCTGTGATCCATTTTGAGTTTTGTATATAGTGTAAAGTAACAGTCCAAGTTGTATGTTAATATCCAATTTTCCCAACACCATTTGTTGAAGAGATTGTCCTTTCCCCATTGAATATCTTGACACCTTTGTTGCAAATCATTTGAGCATATATGTGTGTTTATTTCTGGATTCTCTCTTCTGTTCCATTGTTCTATATGTCTGTCTTTATAGTAGCACACTGTTTTGAATACTGTGGCTTTGTAATAAGCTTTGAAACCAGGAAGTGTAAGACCTTAAACTTTGTTCTTCAAGGTTATTTTGTTTATTCAGTTGTCCTTGAGATTTCATATAAATTTCAGGATGTATTGCTCTGTTTCTGCAAAAAACGTCATTGGGCTCTTGATAAGGATTGCATTGAATCTGTAGATGACTTTGGGCAGTATTGACATCACTGTTGTCTTCCAATCCATGAACTCACTGTTCCTTTTTAAAACTATCTTGACTTTTGCACCCTTTCTCTTCTAGATGAATTGAGAGTAGGCCTATCACATTTCATTTTTTAAACAACTGTTGGGATTTTGATCAGCTTGCAGTACATTTAAATATAAATTGGGGGGAGAGTTGCTATCTTTTTAATATTGAATTTGTCTTTCCATTTATTCAGGCCATTTATGTCCTTTAGTAAGTTTTGTATTCTTTATGTTGGTCTTAGAAAATTATTGTTGTTTTCCTAAATGTTTTATTTGTTACTACTATGAATAGGGTTTTTAAAGCCCTACAACTTAACTCTTTGTAGTTAGCCCTCCACCTAGTGTTAGCTAAACTTGTGGTTAAGGGCACAATTCTCTAAGACTGTTAAGTCTGCCCAAAACTTCTGACACCAACTGCAAGTTTGGGGGTTTCCCCAAGATAGATCTGGAGTTTATGTTAAGATATGATTCCCATTTTATTAATATTTTTTAATTATTAATTAGTGGAAGCTAAATGTGATGAAAGATCTTTTCAACATCTATGGAGATAACCATATGATTTTTCACCTCTATCAATATTTGATATCAATATCAAAAGATTTCCTAAGGTAGAATCATATTCATTGTAATACCTTATTTTAGATTTTTTCCATCAATATACATAAATGAGAGCCTGTGGGGTTTTTATTGTTGTGTGTGTGGGTTGTTGTTATTGTTTTGTTTTTACCATGCATATTATTGATTGTGGTTTCCTTAATCAATCTATCTGTCTTCTGTCTTTTAGGGAATCTCATAATTTCTGGTCTATTGGGAATACTTCTTGTTTTCCAGTGCTGTTATGAATGTACTCTTTTCTTTTTTTTTTTTTTTTTGCCGTGCAAAATTGGCCCTGAGCTAACATCTGTTGCCAATCCTCCTCTTTTTGCTTGAGGAAGATTCGCCCTGAGCTAACATCTGTGCCAGTCTTCCTCTATTTTGTATGTGGCTCACCACCACAGCATGACTGATGAGTGGTGTAGGTCCACATCCATGTCCGGGATCTGAACCGGCAAACCCAGGCCACTGAAGCAGAGCACACCAAACATAATCACTGCACCACGGGGCCAGCCCCATGCATGTCTTCTTTTTAAAATAGCCATTCTGTCACTGTGGGATCTGGGGGGAGACAGAGGCCAGCACTCATGCTCTGTATGGCCTCTTGGTCCAGTCCTGGTCTTCCTCTTCTCAGCACTCATCAGACTGCACTTGGAGATGATTCAGAGAACATTCAGAATTGTTCAGGGTTGGAAACCATATCAGTAGAAGGATGGAACTGGGAGAATCCATCCTAATGATGACTCTGAGGACAAAAGAAATATTTCAAGGTGACATGTCAAGAACTAGACTCTAATTCTACTAGAAGTAGAAATCCAAGGAGTGAGAGCTCCAAGGGAAAGACTCATTCAGAAAAGAGGGCATTCACTTTGGCTAAATGATGGTGGAGTGTCCTTTTGTAGACAGGGAGTGCCCTGTTACTGGTGGCTTAGGAGAAATTAAGTAATGATTTGGCAAGGATGCTGAAGTGGAAGAAATTTAAATTTCAGGCATGTTTTAAATTTGAGATTTATTCAATTGTTTATTAATTTATTCACTTAAAAACATGAGTCTAGGGGCTGGCCCGGTGGCATAGTGGTTAAGTTCATGTGCTCTGCTTCAGCAACCCAGGGTTCGCAGGTTTGGATCCCTGGCATGGACCTACGCACCACTCATCAAACCAAGCTGTGGCAGCATCCCATATACAAAATAGAGGAAGATGGGCACAGATGTTAGCTCAGGGCTAATCTTCCTCAGCAAAAAGAGGAAGATTGGCAACGAATGTTAGCTCAGGGCCAATCTTCCTCACACACACACACAAAAAAACATGTGTCTAACTCATACAACTCAGTAGCAAAAAAACCAAAAAAATCTGATTAAAAAGTGGGCAGAGGATCTGAATAGACATTTTTCCAAAGAAGATACACAGATGGCCAACAGGTACATGAAAAGATGTTCAACATCTCTAATCATCAGGGAAATGCAAATCAAAACCACAATGAGATATAACCTCACACCTGTTAGAATGGCTATTATCAAAAAGATAAGAAATAAGTGTTGGCAAGGATGTGGAGAAAAGGGAACTCTTGTGCACTGTTGATTGGGATGTAAATTGGTGCAGCCACTATGGAAAACAGTATGGAGTTCCTCAAAAAATTAAAAATAGAACTACCATGTGATCCAGCAATCCCATTTCGGGGTATTTATCTGAAGGAAACAAAAACACTAACTCAAAAAGATATATGCACCTCCATGTTCATTGCAACATTATTTACAATAGCCAAGATATGGAAGCAACCCATATATATCTACATATACACACACAATGGAATATTTTTTTCCAGTTTTATTGCAATATAATTGACATATGGCATGTATAAGGTTAAGGTGTACAGCATAATTTTAATTTTTTTTAATTTTTTTAAATTTTTTTTTGAGGAAGATTGGGCCTGAGCTAACATCCGTTGCCAATCTTCCTCTTTTTCTTTTTTTCTCCCCAAAGCCCCAGAACATAGTTGTGCATTATAGTTGTAGAGTTGTAGCTCTTCTATATGGGACACCGCCTCAGCATGGCTTGATGAGTGGTGAGTAGGTCCACACCCAGGATCTGAACCAGCGAACCAGCAAACTCCGGGCCACCGAAGCAGAACGTGCAAACTTTGCTGCACCACCAGGCCAGCCCTCCAGCATAATAATTTGACATATATATTGTGAAGTATTTACCACAAGAAATTTAGTTAATGTCCATCATCTCATATATATATAAAGAAAAATATATTTTTTTTCCTTGTGATGAGAACTCAGTATCTACTTTCTAATATACAATGGTATATTATTCAGCCATTAAAAAGAAGGAAATCCAGTCATTTATGACAACATGGATGGAACTTGAGGGCTTTAAGCTGAGTGAAACAAGTCTGACAGACAGAGAAAGACAAATACCATATGACCTCACTTATATGTGGAATCTAAAAACATAACAAAACAAAACCTCGTGGGTATAGAGAACAGATTGGTGGTTGCTAGAGGCAGGAGGGTGGAGGGTGAGCAAAATGGGTAGGGGGATCAAAAGGTACAAACTTCCAGTTATAAAATAAATAAGTCCTGGGGATGTAATGTACAGCATGGTGACTATAGTTAACAATACTGTCTTGTATATTTGAAAGTTACTAAGAGAGTAAATCTTAAAAGTTCTCATCACAAGAAAAAAAAATGTAACTGTTTATGGTGATGGAGCTTAACTAGACTTATTGTGGTGATTGTTTCGCAATATATACAAATATTGAATTATGTTGTACACCAAAAAATATATGTATTTATGTGTCCAGAACTGTGCTAGGTGATGGAAATTCAGAGATGAAGAGAATCTGGCTCTTGCCCCCCAGAAGATCACAGTCTCTCAGCACTGATGGCCCTGACACTTAGTAGTCAACATGTCTGAGCATTAGCTGTGTGCCAGACACTATGCTAAGCTCTTTACCTGCATGATTTAATCCTCGAAACTTATCCTCATTTTATAGATCAGGAAACTAAGGTTCAAAGAGGGAGAAGGGCCTTCTCAAGATCACAGAGCTCAGATCATAAGCTTTGACCCCAGTGTAGCTGACTCCACAGCCCAGATCCTAACCTCTTCCTACACGGCCCGTTGGCCCCACAGGGGTCGCAGAGAAGCAGATGTTCTCTGGGCCTTTTCTCAGGCCGCACAGAGGGAGAGAAGGGGTATGTGCTGACCTCCCCAGTTTGCCTTTTGTCTCCAACTTCCCCTCAGATGTTCCCAGTCATTCTGCTCTGTACCAAGAACTAGCTTCAGTTTCAGTGAAGTAAGGTTACTTCCATTTATTCTGAGTGGCTCTTTGGAGAGTTAAATCTCTCCAAGATGAGCTGTTGACGAATTACCTAAAATTTGAGGTTTCGAGAGGAAAGACCCCTGTATGCCATGGCCACGTCATGCAAGTCAAGTACAAATGGAAGTCACACTGTCAAATGCATTAGATTAACTTCTTCCAAGATTTACATGAAAGGACAATACTAGAGCAAATGCAGTGTATGAAACTTTGGATTTACATAAAAGTTAAAGAGAAATAAAAGTCATTATACAAAGCAATCCCCAGTAAGTCTTTTACAGAATAAGCCAAAATACAAGGTGCTTTATATGAGTTCAGTTTGCGCCTCCAGGTACAGACATGCCACAGAGTGGAGAGCACAGCAAGTGCTGGGGAGCACAAGTGCTGGCTGTTGGACGCTGCAGCTCACATGTAAACGCGCTGGCCCAGGCCCAGCAAGGACCAGGCTGCCTGGAGGGTGAGCTCAGACAGCTGTGCCCATCCCTTCTCCCCAGGGACCTGCCTCATCAGAGAAGCCAGAGCCCTCCTGGAGGCATCGTGCTGAGCCATCCAGCTCCTCCAAATCCCTGCGGGGGAGCACGTTGCTTTACGGGCTCGCCCAAGGCACACCTGGAGTCCCCAGAGTTGGAGCTGCTGGCAATCATATCTTCCACTTAATAAAACTTATCAGAAACTCATTTAACCCTTTTCATATCATACAAAGATATGATATAGAACCCTTCTCAGACTTTGAATTTCCAGACCCTAAATGTATAGTTGTAGCCACGATGGTAGAAGCAGGTTACAAAATCTGAGCACAGCGTATTTTGACTCCTTGTGTGATTGTTCTCGCTCTCTTCTAAAAAGCTGGGCTAAGGATTATAATTCTAGAAATTTGGAGTTTTACGGTGTTTGAAATACTCATCATCTATAGACCAAAGCCTACAGATTTGATCAGGCTCCCAGAGTAGGAGAAGAATGAAGCATTCACCTTAGACCCTGGGAGAGCACGCCTTGGGCAGGGACGGTCCCCCCCAGGGATGGCAGGGAAGCCATCCTCCTCCTCTGGGACTGTCCTTCAAATGGAGCTTCTAAGAAAGGAAGCATCCTGCCTGGGAGCCCACTGACACCGCCTCTCTTTGATCCTAGGGCACAGACCCCACACACACTGGAGTCCACATTTTTGGTTTATTCATCGAGGGGGCAAGGTGGAATCATGAAGAAAAAATCCTAGAAGACTCGCTGCCTCGTGAGACGTGTTGTGATTTTCCTGAAATATACTTCCTGCCAACAAAGGTGACCACCCAAATGTTTATCACGACATCTTCCACCTCTGAGCTTCCCTCAGTAATACAGACTGTTGCTTCCAAGTCCCCATTCCCCGTGAGTTCACTAAGGAAATTTGATCATATACTTCAGACAGCAAACATTTAAAATAGCCCAAAATATTGCTCAAATCCAAAGAGATGCCTTACCATCATCCAATGTTATTTCTCAAGAGCATGTACTATAAAGCCATGATAATTATTCTTTAAAATTAAATTCTCCAGGCATAATTTCCACATGCAGTTACATAACCACCTAACCCTAAATGTTGTTGTTTAATTCGTAACAAATCCCCCAAATCTAGCATATAGAAAATGTGAGGTACTGGTGTGCTTGAGCTGTGCAATGTGACTATTGGATTTTTCGTTTTTTTTAAGATTTCTACTGAAAGACCAGATGCTGCTAACCAGACAGACACAGAACTCTATACTTTTGAGTGCCCCGTTTATCAGACACCGGAGAGGTCAAGAATTTTGACAGCTACTGGCTCACCCTCCAACTTTTTAACCTCGGTGTATTTATCCACGAAGAAACCTCCCAGTCACTGGATCACAATGCAGGTGGCGCTGCTGTGTGAGGAGAACGAAAAATAAACTTCCATACCAAACCATTTAATTTTTGACTCTAACCAGCTTTACATGTTTCAAGACAGTCACACACAGTCAACACCCTTCATGAAAACATGTGTGGTCAGCCAGACCTGACACGTGCAGTCTCTCCTTCCACCTGTCCGTGAAAACTCCCACTCAGGGGAATCTTCTAGGTGATGTCTGGAGTTGGGCTCCAGTTCAGGTGAGCGCTACGTCCTGGGACACAGCAGGTTAGACTTTTCTAAAAGTGAAACCACGGCCCCTGGCCAGACAGCAGGGTGTGTTTTTATGAACTTTTTGACTCCAAATAGTGACTTCTGCAGTTATATACAATCAAATCCACACGTAAAGAGCAGTTCTCTGGAACTCTTTCTCTGGCTGCCCTGAGTAAACCCCAAACACGACACTGCCAGCCTGACAGCAGATGTCTGACACAGGAGAAGGAGGATCTTCTTCCCCTAGAGAAATGCAGTCTTGTTCTGACTTCACTAGAACATCTCTTCCCACAAAAAACCAATCCTGAGAATTCAGCAAATTGGATTAATATCAAATTGTGTTTCTGTAGTTTGAATTTTTATTGTTGAGCACTAATAAGAATTCCCATATAATCCTCAGACCACCTATGTACTATGTGGTCTATCAGCCAAATTTTATACACGAGGAAACTGGTGCTCAGAGAGATTGAGTTGCGTGCCCCGGCTCACATTGCTGAGAGGAAGCAGAGCTAGGATTCAAAGCCACAGTCATTGTCACTTTATCTTGGCATTGGGTCCACTGGCAGAAAACACATCCCATGTGTACACCAATGAAGGCCAACATTCCATTCTCTCTGTAGTAAGGGCGTGGGGAGGGTGGGGCTCATACCCAGGACAACACACTGTAACAGCCATGAACGAAATATCAATATCTACTTACTTTTATGTCTAGGCAATTGTACTGTCTAAAAGTAACATCATAAAAAAAAATACATTAAGAGCCTAATTACACACTGCCCTATAGAAAAGAATTATAAAGATCTAGTCCCTGTCATCTAGGAATCAATAAGAAAATGATAAAGTATAGGATTTTAACAAAAGATACAAGGTGGGATCTTATTTGTTCCAGTTCATTTGCTAAAGTAGTTTTCGGAATTAACCCTGATTTGCTAAAACAGTCCATGATTATGGAAAACACCCACACACAAAGCCTTTTCTCCAAACAGTATAAAAACAAAGATCAAGATAAGAATCACATGATGTGGTATTTTAACCTGCGGGGTGTTGGTGCAGACCCTGACACACCCACCTGCTGCAGGGCAGCGTCACACCGGTAAGAGATGGAGACAGGACAGTCTGATCTCTTCTCACCGACACATGAATGCTCTCACATACACGTACTGCCCTTCAAATGTACACAGATGCTTTTGTGAGTAATACAAATTCATTTGAAAGTACTACTGAATCTACAATAGTTTTGATCATTTCTCTATTTTCTCAGACAGCAAAACAAAACACATGACCATTATCTGGGCATTGGGACCCTCGACTAACCCGCTCACGCTCCAGCTTCCGAGAGCCTCGACACAAACAGCGATCGGCAGCGCTCCCGGTTGCCCTCAGATTTCCTGTGTCCAGGAGGGTCCCAAACTAATGATCCTAAAAACACCAGGGCGTCAGGTGAGGGTGGTCATCTAAGGGCTCCTGTTTTGGCCCCAAGGATCCCAGAGTTACAGGCAAAACAAAAACAAAACAAAATGAGGCTCCAAAGTGATCAAAGCAACATCTTTTTATTTTCAACTTTATTTCCAACTTAAAACTTCATTATAAAACTTGTCAAATAAACATGTCAAAAACAAAATTAAAAACAAATTATAGCTGATGTCCAGAAATTGCAGCCCTGTGCTGGTAACAGGCTCTCTTTTCATCACCAGGAAAGAATCAACTGGCCTTCTATTTCTCCCAAAGCTTCCTTGGTGAATCTAGTACAGAGCATGCCGGAGGCCAGGAGCAAAGCATAATACAAAAACCACCTGCATACATCAGTACTAGTAAAACACTGACGATTTCTCCAAAACCTTGTTCAAAGCCTACAGGATGTAGAATGCTAGAGCAAACCACCTTCATGATCACACGGCATAAGCTAAGTCACATCCACCTCAAATTGCAGTGTGGAACGAACACGGCGTATCTAAATGGCTCATATATACAAAGTGTGATTAGAAACCCAAACATACACACTATATTTATTGGATTCCCCTATGTTTAAGATACCGAGAACAATTTAACTTTGAATACAAAAGTTTAGTGAATTTGCTACTGTTCCATTATTGGACGATTAATAATGAGACTCGATATCAACTTACGTAGAATTTCACAGCTAAAGCTACCTTATGCACATCTATTAAACTAAAAGAGAGAAAGGATTTTAAGCTATCCCCTTAAATTGTTTTTAGATGAACAGACTTCTAAAGATGAACCCCATACTCCTTCACAGGGAGGAGAGTTTTGTAAAAACAAAGCATATACAAAATACAGTATAAACTGCATGAGCTCAACAGTAGCAAAAACACGGGTTAATTAAAAAAGTCAAAAACATACAAAAATATTAGCCTGAAATGGCAAATTTTCAAACACCAATCCATGTAAAAATGTTTAAATAGTGATGTTACTCCAAAAATATATATTTATTCTATTTTTTTCTATTTGCATCAGTTTATAAAAGGCAAACAAACATCTGCAGTTGAGGTAGCAAAGCCAAATTCACACACTTTGGATTAAAAAAAAAAAACACCCTTCCTATGTTTTAATAGCATCTTTTATACAATATTAAGTGAATTCTAATTGCTTCAAAATTTTTAATTCACATGTATTACTTTACAAAACTTAATTTAAAATACTGCAAATGTTTTTGTTAAAAAGATACTTAGTCCTGACAATTATTTCACATTCAAAATACTGTACAGAAAAATCTGAAGTCACCATATATTACATACAAGCTATGTATTTACAGTTTCAAACGCAGTTTTGGAAGCTGAGGTTAAACTACTATTCCTAGTGGTCTCCCTTAAACAGTGCCTGCTAATAATCTTTCATCCTCTTCACAGAGCATTAAAGACAGGACCGGCTTTTACTTTCAAATCACAGAACTAGGAAATTAATTTCAGGGGAAACAAACGAAAATTCTCTTAATGCACTAAAACAAATGTACTTTAAACGTAACAGTTTTCATTTAAGAAAAACCAACTGACAGAACAAAAAAAAAATCAAAATTTGAAAAGTCATCAAAACCATAAACATCAATAGTATTCTTTTCAGTGCATTTATAAGACTGTTTTCTCTTTACAGATTTTAAAGGACTGAAAATCTCCTATTAGAATGCAAATTCTCATTCTTTAGATTTTTCCTCATGTTAATTGTTATTATTTAATAAAAATAAGCGTGGCTATATTAAAAGACTTACTACTCGGCTCTATAGTCCTGACTCAAAAAGAAAAAACTTAAAGATCCTGTCAGTGCAACAAAAGAAGGTTCGTTTGGGATTTTTTTTTCTTGTTTTTGCAAATGGAAGCTGGAATTGCAGGAGCATTAAACAACAGGCTAGAGCAGAATCAGTAAATGTAGGGAAATATGCGGTAGGGCACGCGCTGGCAGTACTTCTCCCAGGCCAGGCCGTACTTCTTCCTGCACTGGTGCTCATCCCGGGCCTCTCGGTGGACCAGCAATACGGTGAAATAGATCACATAGAAATAAGGCAGAATGTGACTAAAACCTGTGGATCACAATAGTAAAGAGGATTAGGTTTTTTTTTTTTTTTTATAGCTTTATTTTTTTTTTTTTAATTTTATTTATTTATTTCCCCCCAAAGCCCCAGCAGATAGTTGTAGGTCATAGCTGCACATCCTTCTAGTCGCTGTATGTGGGACGCGGCCTCAGCATGGCCGGAGAAGCAGTGCGTCGGTGCGCGCCCGGGATCCGAACCCGGGCCGCCAGTAGCAGAGTGCGCACACTCAACCGCTAAGCCACAGGGCCAGCCCGAGGATTAGGTATTTTGATCCCCACACAATATTAAGTTTTTCCTGCTTTTCCCCAAATCCTCTAAAAATGAACCATAAGATTACTTCATTTTCTCCAATAATGGAGAAAGCAACTAAATTGGTTCATAAAATTAAAAGCTACTCAGAGAAGAGCGACTAATCCATTCTAACAATTCATCATAATCAGAACGCTTGCCCCCATATGTAAAGCAAATCTCTCCATTTCCTCCCCTCCGGCCCTCAGTGAGGAACAACTGTGGAGTGGGCTAACACCACGTGCCTTCCAGGCTGGGTCAAAACACACACAAAACAGAACTGTCTGCTCTTCTTCTTAAGAACCAAAGTTTTTCAGAATTTACATACTCTGAGTCATGAATAAAAAGTTACATTAATTTCTCTTAGACGCTTACCACACGGGAGGGACCAGGCCAAGGCCATGATGAGATCCCCCAGGTAATTGGGGTGGCGAACAAAACCCCACCATCCGGAAACGAGGAGATTTTTTCCCGTTGAAGTATGAATGGTTTTTAAATCTATATAAAAATAAAAATACACTTTTAATGATCTCTAGACAAACAGAGACATAAAATCTTTTAAATGCAATATAAATATTATACATAAAATGCAATATAAATAATATAAACCAATACTTACGTGCAAGCTTTGGATCGGTGGGATTTTTCCGGAATGCATTTTTCTGAGAATTTGCACATCGGAAGATTACATATCCGCCAACTATAATTTTAAAAAAATTGCATATGTTAATTTAGATATAATCTTAGCATCTGTAATTTCACTTAGAAATTATTTCTGTGCTCTAAAGCAATGTCCAAAGTAGGGAACAGTTTGATTTCTTAAGAACAATTCAAAATCTCTCCATCTCGGAATGACAAAAGAAGATTAACTATCCTGAAATCTCACTATCATACTGCCTTCATCATCCACTTGGGGAATACCGTGAAGGCACAACTAACAGAGTTACATCCATGAATAAAATCTAATACAGCCTACGTTACAATCAAATCAATACTAGAGTTCAGTACAATCAAGAACACGGGACATTTCCTGTGTTAGCGATGGTACCTACTGGCCATAACACAAACACTTTATCAATAAAAGTGTAGCCTAGAATCAGTACTAGAACCTCTTGCACATAAATATATGCTGAATCCCACTGCAAGCCTACAAGTTGGTAGTTTTACTTCAAATTTCAAAATGTCAAAGTTAATAGGCCCGGACATATTACTATTAACTATTATGTTGTCAGTCCTCAATAAAGTAGTAAGAAATAACTCTATTTTTAGCTTAACTGTAAAATATACAGATACTGTCTTGAATGACACGCAGGCATAGCAGACATGGATAACCAAACCAATGATGAAACTAAATCTTAATTTTAATGCCTTGAATTTCTTCTTCTACCATGGATACTAATTAGTGTAGCAAAACTAGCAAATCTGAAGTTCAGTGCTAATTCTCCCTGCCCTCCCTCTGGTGGAGACGTTTAATGACCAGCAGAATGAAGAAGAGCCGTCCCGAGCTAACCCACAATGGCTCACGATGGACCTGGCTCCAACCACACCGTCCGCCTCACTCCTTCCAAACAGGCTCCACACGTCCCCACCACCCTACCCGAGCTGTGCCCTCTGCCTGGCCTATCTACTCCCCATCCCATTCTCACCCATGACAACTCAGATCAAACACCACATCCTCCAATAAGTCTACACTGCTTTCCCCAGAGAAAAGTCCTCTCTACCCTAAACTCCCACGCTATCTGGTCCCTACATCCCTCTCTCAGCACTCCTGCACACGCCTCCTCCCGGTGTCTGAGAGTCTTATTTCTCCTGTTGGAACGTAAGCCCTATGAAGGCAAGACCGATCTCCCTACATTTTAAGGTGCCTCCCGGACAAAGCAGGCACTCAACAGAAAAAAGGAATCATTACTAAAACAATTCAGTGTCAAATTAATTTATTAATTTAAATTAAATTTTTTAAAAAATGGTTTAAAATGATCTGTTTAGAGAACCACTAAAGAACCTCAGTACGAAGCATCCATTCTCTTTGCAAGATGCAAGAATCTCTTTATCACTCCACCGTCACGAATGACTTCAAACCTAAGCTAATCCTGGCAGTCCAGAAGGGCATGTCATAAATGTGTAGACACCAGAGCACAACAGACTCAGTACGTGAGGTTTAATACCCGGAGACTGAAACTAACACTCACGTTTCAGAGCGATGATTAGAGAAGCCACTGGCCACGACACTTCACGTGGATGACCGACCAAATAAAAGGCCTGCAGGCTGTAGACGAAGGGCACCCACACTAAATCTCCGAAGGCCAGCATGAACCCAAAGCCATCGTGGGTGATGTCCATGGTCGTCAACAAGGCCTCCTGTGAGGACGCAGAGAGGGAAAGGGTTACACCCAGGTTTGGGGGAGAAAGGCTTCTATGTTTAAGTATTCAAAGAGAGTACTAGTTTATAGTCAAATTGATCAAGGGCTACGGAAGCGTACACCAACCAAAAGTTGTTTAAAGGCGGGGAGGGTATTCTGGTTCCCTCGGCATGTGTATGACACTACGCCATTGGGCCAACCTCATCTCCAGTCACTCTGCCATCCTAAAACAAGTCTCCGGAACGCCTCTCCTGCCTCCACGCCTTTGCCCAGGCCATTTCCCCTGCCTGGAACACCTTCCTCCAACCTCAGCTTACACCTCCCCTGAGCTGCCGTCCTCAACTCCTCCCATCAGACGAGGTACTTCTCAGACGCAACTCCCGGCTCCCGGGTGAAGACGATGTGTGATTGTACCATCACTGTCTAAGTCACTCTCTCCCCCCTAGACTGGGAGAGGAAAGACGGGGACCAGGGGTTCCCCCGTCACCCCGGCGCCTGGCACACTGCCCCTGCCACGGGGTAAGTGTTCCAAGTATGTCTGCTGAAGGAATCACAGGATCACCAGCTGCCTTTGTTTCAATTCTCCATGCACCAGTCTAATTTCTGATCGTGATCTGGCTTTTCATGGACATTTTCCACACAAGAGAAGCAGCTCCCCGGCAACATGGAAAACTGCCTATCTCACTTCCCACAGGGAATTGACACAATGAATGTGCTCTCTGGGGGATGTGGCCAGCAAGAGCAAGGAGCCAGATCACCTCTGGACCTGGACACCTGTAGACCAGACTCTGGACAGGGGAGACACCACCACGGTCAAAATCCAGCAGGCCTGGCTGAGGGGGTCTCCACACGGCCTCCACATGTGGTATAGACCGCTGACAGGGAAAACTAGCAAGTATTGGCTCTGCTGAAGAATTGGTGTTCTAGGTTAAAGGAAAAGAGGGACACCTCCAAAGAGCAATTTTCTCTAGAAAGAAAGCAAAAAGACTATAGAACACAAAAATGGATGTCACCAACTCTGGCCCTCAGGCTCCCACTCTAGTCAAGAGCGTCTATTCTTATGCACACAGGCTCTCCAGACCTGCCAGGCTCCATGGGTCATCCTAGCAGAGGCTCAGAAGAAGGGTTATTTATATTCAAATTCGTAGTCTCGGTTTCTTAAGGTGTGGCCATTCTGAATGAGGAATTTCTATCAACCAACCTAATAAGAAAGTTATTAAGCATCTGCTAATTGCCCAGCCGGGGAGAGACGATGAAGAAAACCATAAAATAAAGTCCCTTCCTCAAGCAGCTTACTATGATCTGGCTGAGACACTGATAACACAGAGAAAAAATAACTTCCCAACTCCAACCCTCTCCCCCTGGGATTTTGTTAAAGTTGCCTTAAGAGGTAAACATTTTCAGTTCATTAACAGAAGTCAATGTTTGGCCAAATCTGTAGAAAATATGAATTTCTAAGCTACTTAAAAAGTGACTGCCACTACATGACAGAAAGCTGGAAGGAAGAAACTAGAAGGAAGAATTACTAATAATTGAAAAGCTACCAGAAAGGAAGTTAAAAAAAATCTCTGCAGTGATAAAGCAACAGTGAACCATCCTTTGGCCTGTACAATATAATCCACCCGCTTCTTAGGAGCGTTATTACATCATAGCAGAAAGACGTACACTGGCAAGACTAAGTGCATTGAGGGCCGGCCCCGTGGCTTAGCGGTTAAGTGCGCGCGCTCCGCTGCTGGCGGCCCGGGTTCAGATCCCGGGCGCACACTGACGCACCGCTTCTCCGGCCATGCTGAGGCCGCGTCCCACATACAGCAACTAGAAGGATGTGCAGCTATGACATACAACTATCTACTGGGGCTTTGGGGGGAAAAAAACTAAAAAAAAATTAAAAAAAAAAAAAAAAAAACAGACTAAGTGCATTTACAAGAATTGGGTTTTTTTTTTTTTAATTTCAAAAGCCCAGGTCTGTGCTAAGTGGTAGGAACTCAACAAGAATGTGTAATCCGGCTACTAGTAACTGATGTGAACGAAACTGGGCCCCTCTCCCTGGTCTGCCAGGCAAATCCAGCACGAGAGCTGCATAGACTTAAAGTCAGCAGGATAAAATCCATGCTGTGCTGCGAAGCGGCCGTGCAGGCCCCATAGGCCGTGCTGGGATGACCTTGCAGCCCCTGTCTCATGACTGAGGAGGCCAGCTGGATGCATCGGCCACAGAAGACACCATGGGCACCTCGCTCACACATTTCCCAGCTGCGTTTCTTGGACATAGGGAAAAGTGCCCACCCTGGTCCTGGCGTCCCTCCACACAGAGACAACACCGACATTACAAGCCTGCTATGACGTGTAACCGAAAAGCTCTTGTTATCCTTGCAGGCGACTGTCAGATGTGTGAGCCTTCCCTGCACGGACGCTGCTCTTTTAAAAGGTATAGAAACTGCATCAGACTGCAGACCTTGGAGCATTCCTCAGAACACTCTGCTGGACTGTTTCCTGGGATTTGAACTCCTCATCTTGATTATCAAATAAACTCCTCTCATTAACCTTTACCCAGACTCTTTATTTCAGTCAACGCTGTGGTCTGTTTACCTCAGGAGGTCCTAATCCTCCCAAAGAAAACGAAGATTATCGAAACATCAACATCAAGCTTTCAAAGTCCTTTTGACTAAATATTCTCTATGGTCCGGCGTGCAAGGCCCAAATTAAGGATCAGTCTGGGGGGGATGGGGGGCGGTGATAAGGTATTGATGACCAAATAACATAGTTTTTAGAAAACACCTAACACGTGTACAGTGACAGATGGTAATTAGATTTGGGGTCGTGAACATGATGTAATTACACAGCAATCAAAATATAATGATGTACACCTGAAATTTATATAATGTTATAAACCAATGTGACCTCAATAACAACAACAACAAAAACACCTCAGACTCAAAGGAGAGGGACCGTCTCTCAAAATGTCAACAGACTCATGAAAACTTGTTTCTTGTGGAGCCTTCTCATGTAGGGTTGCCAATTTTGTTTTTAAAATTGAAAGACTCAACTTGGAATTTGGAGGAGATTACAAAGATAACAGTAAATATGACAAAATAGTTGTAAAATATGCCTGAGGAAGAAATTATTTTTAAAAGGAATATGTGTAATTGAGACAAAAGATTAGCAAAACATTCACCAGTCTTCCAGTAGCAGAAAACACTGATGACTGATCAACGTCTGAGAAGAGCCACACGTTAGGGACTTAGCTTCATTTAAACCGGTTTCCTCAGTGTGTCATAATTTCTGATTTTATGTCCCTCTGATTAGAGCTATTCTCTGTATTTTGAAATACCAACAATAAAACATCTCTCCCATTATTTGAGAACTAGCTGCTTCTTGACAATCCAAAAATCACTATCCTAATTCAATGATAATCTGTCCATCTATTTTCGTGTGATATAATAATAAAGAAATTAAATTTTATTTATACGAATTGGTCATACCCACAAAGCCAAGATCCACAGATCTTAAATATTAAGCACCTAAAAGAGCAGCTGATGTACACAGAAGCATCATCAAATTCCTAGACACTCACCGTCTGTTGGTGCTCACTGTGTCAGCTCCAGGGCCGCATGGACTGACACCTCCTCTAACCCTCACGAGCCTCGGAGGCCGGCTGTACTCTCCTCACTGTGTAAGAAGCCAAGGCCACGAGAGGCCGGGTCACCCCCCACACTCAGAGCCGTCGGACTCCAAGGCCTCTGCTGGTAAAATTAATTACCTCGTTCCAGAGAGCGTCCACCACGTATAAGAGCTGGAAACTGTTAACCAAAATCATTGCTAAGGATGGAGCAGCACGATTCTGCAACTTCATCTCAGCCAAAAGCATCACCAAGTTAACAAGCACCTGCAATAAAAGAGGCAAGGACTGTCTCAGAGCACCTCCCCAGGGATATTAGCAACCACAGAGGGAAGGACGGTGACTTCACAGCTGAGAAACCGCAGACACCACCTTCCCTCAGTAATAAGTAACAAGACACATCCGTAATAAGACGTAGCAACATCATGAATCCATTGAAACGACACTCTGAGAAGGACATAATATCACTTCCGTGGTATTCCTGCCAAAATGCATCATCACTCCAATCAAGAGAAAACACTGGACTAACTCAAAGTAAAGGACTCTCTCACAAAATAACTGACCGGTACTCCTCAAGTGTCAAGGTCGTTAGGGACAAGGAAAGACTAAGCAGCTATTACAGACTCGAGGAGACTGAAGCAAAATGACAACTAAATGCACTGTGGGTGCCTGTGGAGGACCCGGGAACACCAAAGGGCCACGGTGGAAAAACTGGTGAGACAAGGTCTGTGGATTTAGTACATGATACTGTAACAACGTTAATTTGCTGTTCTTGATAATTATACCAGGGTGATGCCAGCTGTTCACACTGGGGGAAGTGGGGTGAGGGATGTAAGGGAACTCTTTCTTCTATTTTTGCAACTCTACTCCAAGCCTAAAATTAGGTCAAATATGTTTGTTTTTTCAAAGGGGAGAAAAATACATTTTTTCTTACATGAATTCATCTACACTATCACTTTCCTATGTAAAAATGAGCTGATATAATCAAAATAAAACAAACTCTTTTAATGTTTAATAACCTGTAACAGGGCATCTTAACCCTCGGGACTATATTTACAGTAAGAAAATATTTTAAGTAGACAGATTTATGGAAAGCTATAATTATTCCTAAAAATATACCACCCACAGCTTACTTTAAAATTGTCTACAGTTCTTTCTAAATGCAAGACTCATTCCTACTACTGAATTGAAACTAAAGAAAAAAAAAAAAAAAAAAAAAGAGGAAGATTGGCAACAGGTGTTAGCTCAGGGTAAATCCCCATAAAAAAAAAAAAAAAAAAAAAAAAGACATACCCATCCAATCAATCCGGGGCGCAGTTCACAAAAGTATTTGAGATCAAAAGTGCCAATCCGAGGGTTTAATTCACGGCCAATGAAGAAATCATAGATGGCTTTTCCTGAGGAGAGAAGAGTTCTTATGCAAACAGTATTCCAAATCCAATGATAAGGCTTTAAAATGCACTGCTGTCTATATCCAGGGTCACAATTCAGTCGCTTCCAGGAGCCTGACAAACAGGCAGCCAGGGAAGGCGCAGGAGGTGAGCGGTAGGAGGGACCAGTGAGGACTGAGGTGGCAGGGGAAGCCAGCCCATCTGGAAGCATCCACACTGCTACACAGGCACGGGGCCCATCAGGCCAGATGCCCTGATTTTAACGGAATTGGAGTTTTCTAAAAATGTAGACTCAAAATTGTTTTAAATAAGCAACTTTTTTTTTTCTTTTTTTGCTGGGGAAGATTCACCCTGAGCTAAAGCCAATCTTCCTCTTTTTTTTTTTTTTTAATGTGAGCCACCACCACAGCATGGCCACTGACAGACAAATGGTGTAGGTCTGCCCCTGGGAACTGAACCTCGGCTGCCAAAGTGGAGCACGCAGAACTTAAGCACTAGGCCATCAGGGCTGGCCCACAACTTAATTTTTTAAATGTTTAAATACTTTAGGGTCAGAATCAACCAATTTGGAATCTCTGTTATTTTGTTGTTGTGTTTTTTTCAAGGGAGTTTACTATTTGGGACAAAAAATATTTGTCATAAGTAGTGATGCTACTAATATTACTAAAATGCGACTCTAAGTAAATTACTAAAATGTCTTACTGTCATCAGGTGACTAAAAAAGGAAGAGAAACAGATAGGAAAGTCTGAGGAAAAAAATCAAATATATCTTCTTCCTTTGAATTTTTCTTTAAATTTTTTCTTTATCTTTTTTTCTCATTCCTTTTCATCTCTCATAAACTAAAGCTAGAAGAAAAGCAATCTGCGAGCCTAGGGTCGGCTGCTGGAGGGCTGTGGGACGCGCTCAGGATCCACGCATCTTAACATGGCTGGCTCACCAGAGCTGGCTGGGGACAGCTCCTCCCGGGGCGCCTTCCAGGCCCGCACGAAGAGATAAACACTCAGGACCACAGAGAAAACAGTGGCTGCCAGTGCAAACTGAAGGAAATGGTTGTACACATAATACAGCTCCACACCCCAGAAGAGAGATCCTCCAACCACAACCGATGTCAGGATAAACGCATAGAATCCTTAGCAAAAAAGAAGGCAAAGAAGTAACGTTAATCCAGGGTTCACATGAGATTTATACCATTATGAAATAACGCACTATTACTTTTTAAAGTCTTCATTTCTTATTCAGGCTAAATACACACAAATATACCAACAAGCAATGCCCCTGAGGAGTAATCTTCAATATAGACACCGCCTCTCTCATATAGTTTTTCAAATATTTTAATATACTTATTCTTTTTCATTGTGAAGTTATTATCTGCTTCTAATTAAGAGAAAGCTGAAATGAAATGCACAGAAATTCACCATTAAAAAGCTGAAAAGAACCTCAAAAGTCACATAATTCAAACCCTCAGGCCCAAAGTCAAATGGCTAATTATTAACAGAGCTGGGCCAAACACACATTTCAAAGTCTTTACAGCAATCTTGGTGGTTAAAAAATTATAAATATTTTTACTTGAAATAACTTATCAAAAATGGTTTCAAAAGATCCTGGTCAGATTCGACCACCCAGAATGTAGATCACAAGACCCTCAAACGGAGGTCACAACACAAATGCCCCACGGCCAGGCAGGGGACAGCGGCGATCCAGCTGGGGGGACATCAGGTAGGGACTGCTGGGCCCAGGATGCTCACATGCAATTCCAAATTTAAAAGCATCCCATGAGGCCCCACAGGAGGAACTCCTGCTCCGAGCCAGCCCCGCTGCAGTGACCAACACGGAGAGAGCCTGGGAGGACGGTCTGCTTTTCCTTTTGGCTAAAGACACAGTTTTGCTTTCAGGAGCTGAGTGCCTACAAGAGCCATGTTCTGAGTAAGTCGTCAAATTATATTTGGATAAACAGACAAACACAGAAAAGAGGTGGCTGTTATTTATATAAGAATTTTAAAATCGAAGCTTTTGTAAAGTAAAATGGTCATCTCTCATTTATTTATTACTTAAATCCATATTTTCCACCTATCAGGTTTACTCCCAAGAGTAACTTTTCACTTAACTTTTTAACATTCATTTAACTCTCATAAAATTTATGAATAGTAAAGGAAAAAAAGGGTAGATAAAGCAGTTTCTTGCTCTCTACCTATGTGGGTTAAAAATCATCATTCAAAATGTCTTAGGAATCTTCTTGGCTTATAGGGGCAAAATCTCATGAAGAGAAATCTCGTAATACTAGAACAGAGTACCCAAAAAGAAGGATCAAGCAGCAAGTCCAGCCCCCACCTGCCTGCTCCAGCAGCCTCAAGGCCGGGCACTGCGCTCCGTCTGTGGGCAGGCCAGCCCCTCACAGGGACGTGGAAACAGAAAACACGACCACGGAGAAAAGGACATCACTATCTAGAGAAGCCCACCAAACACGAACGTCAACAGACCTGAAGGCACAAAGTAAACCCAGACTCGGCCTCGCTCGAGTTGCAAGACACACGACAGAGAGTGAGAGACAGAGAGAGACAGATTGATTCTAAACCTGGTTCCAGCAGCAAGGAATTTGGTAAAAGGGAACAAAATATCTGACAGCAGCAGTGAATAAGTGCGAAGCATCCCCCACGGGTCAGGCACTGAGACAGGTCTGATGCTTTCCACACTTGGCGCAGAAGGTAGAAGCCACCTAAAATACTTCCCTTCTAGAACCCAGTGGTGATTTCAGAGAGCAGATGAGAGGTAAGTCACTGAAAAAAGTATCCAAAGTCAGAAACGTAAGACGTGATAGGGCAAAAAGAGGCCAAGAGTTAAAATTTATACTGTAATTCCCAAGAAAAGGAAAACAGTCTACACAGACAAATAAAATTATTTCCATTAGTGATAAATGCCACCGAGAAAATCAAACTGGATGAAGAGGGACTGAGGGCATATGACCTCACATGGCATAATTTGTACAGGTTGGCCGAAGGTGTGAGCAATTTATTTGCATGCCCTTTGGACTATGAAGAGATAAGTGACTACAGCTTTGACAGTTTAAAAAGTACAACGCTCAAAATTTTCAGTCAGCAAATCATCAGTTTGAGTCTTAAAAAAAAAAAAAAAATCACCATTTAATCTATACTTGAGTCTTCTTCCATCGGTAAGAGGCGTTCCTTCTACAACCTTAAAAGAAAAGAAAATTTTTTAATTTAAAAATTTAAAAAGCATAATAACACTTCACCATCATATCAATGTCTTCTAAAATCACTTAAATTTCAACGTGCCTAAGAAGGAAGATCATCTTTTAGTAGAGAAATTTAGTAACAAGTTTCAAAAATCTTAATGGCAAACCTTTAGATGAGGCCAATTCCACCTTTGGGAATTTATCTTCAGTGTAAATCAAGTAATAATTTCTCAGTGTACTGAGACTGTTGCAATAGCCACCTTGCCCCCACCATCCCATGTGCCACCACAAGACTAAATGTGCTTTAAAAAACCTCTATATCCAGCTGAGCGCTGGCTCAAAAATCTTCAGTGGCTTCCCACTGCTTACAAAATCGAATCGTCTGGACCACCCACAGCACACCCACACAAAGGGACTCCAGAAACACACGACTGGAACGGGATGGGTTAAAATAAAAGTCCCGGGCCGGCCCCGTGCCTTAGCGGTTAAGTGCTCGCGCTCCGCTGCTGGCGGCCCGGGTTCAGATCCCGGGTGCACACCGCTTGTCAGGCCATGCTGTGGCGGCGTGCCATATAAAAAGTAGAGGAAGATGGGCACAGATGTTAGCCCAGGGCCGGCCTTCCTCAGCAAAAAAAGAGGAGGATTGGCATGGATGTTAGCTCAGGGCTGATCTTCCTCACAAAAAAAAAATAAATAAAAAATAAAATAAAATAAAATAAAAAGTCCTCTTGCCCAATGGCAGGTGCATCTTACTCCCCAAAATACTATTCAGACACATTGCAATTCACTTTAAACTGTGAAATACTAATATGGTATCATTTGTCTGGGGCTAAACTACTTGACCCTTTCCTCAGCTATGAAAGGAAACCCAGGAGAAATGTAACACTTGTTTGAGATCACAGGATTAACAAACCCCCCCATGCTAATTTCAAAAGATTCTTGTCTACTAAAAGCATCTAACAAATACTGTTGGGTTTTAGTTTGTGACTATATATACATACATATATATACATATATGAAAATTTTAACCATCAAAACGGCTTTTCTTAATAAATATTATCTAGTTTGAACTAGCTCTACGTATATTAATCTGCATTTGTGATTTTTACTGTACAGCCTTACCATAAAAATGCCTGAAGGTTCACATCACAAAACTCCTCCCTAGAGCCAACAGTTATGGTGAGATTCCGGAGTATTTAAAGACTGCGGCTCTATCCCCCTACCACTGGCATTCGCCACATCTAGTAAATCTGATCCTTCAGTTTACAGACAGTAGGTAAACTTGCAAAGCCCTAAGAACAAGATCTTTAAATGAATTATTTATTGCTTAGGGAATCTCACCTTCCTTTAAATAGGTCCAAGTAAAGTATTCTACTAAAAGAAGGGGCCGGCCCAGTGGCGCAAGCGGTTTAGTGCGCACGCTCCACTGCGGCGGCCCAGGGTTCGCCGGTTCGGATCCTGGGCGCGCACTGACGCACTGCTTGGCAGGCCATGCTGTGGCGGCATCCCATATAAAGTGGAGGAAGATGGGCACGGATATTAGCCCAGGGCCAGTCTTCCTCAGCAAACAAAGAGGAGGATTGGCAGATGTTAGCACAGGGCTGATCTCCTCACAAAAAAAAAAAAAAAAAAAAAAAAAGTATTCTACTAAAAGAAGAAAAAAGTACACCTAGCAATGAAGACAAATTTTAAAGACACTGCATGAGTTTGAAAAGAACATAAATGTTCCTGACAACAAATTACCGAAAGAGATGAAATTTAGAAACACACCATAATAAAAAAGAAAAGTAAATGATACAGGACTAAAGTCTATTGAGCTCATGGCTTATCAATTGATAATTTAAAATTCTGCACCTGAAATGATACGTACCGAGGGGGAATTTTTTTTTCAACAACCTCTACCATTCGTCAGGCTATTTTGCAGAACAGCTTATTCTTTTCTATTTGGTTTGGAAAGTTACACAAGAAACCTAAATTAGGTTTTCAAAGTTCTGCTTAATAAGCCAGTGTTACAGGCTCCAAGAGGAAGGGCTTCAGAAACTAAGTAAGTTTGGGTAGTTATGACCAAGGCCAGCTTTAAACCTCAAAACTCCTGGAAACTTCTTTACATAAACGTGGAGAGAGGGGAAGAAAATCTCATGATACTCTGCCCTACCAACAAAAACTTACCTTCCCAATTGGCAGTAAGTAGAAGAGAGCCTGCAGAATAAACCAGAGGAGGTAGACCCCAAATACTCTGGGTTCCCATAAATCAGACAAAGCTGGCAAAGGAGGTGGGAAGTTCAGCAGGCTAGGCTCCCTCTGTTTACACATCAACAGCAACATGAAGAGGAAGGCAGGCAGGCCAAGCATGATGAGAAACACACCTGCAAGCAATTAGTGAACATTCGAGGCTCAAATTCCAATCCAGTTTGTTTATTTTTTTCAAGAATCATCTGGGTATTTTAAAATCAGAACTCAAGTAGGGCCAGCTGTTTGAAACCAATGTCTAGTATACCATCACCAAGTCCTCATCTCCCCCTGTCACGTCCAGTGGCCAAGCAACCATGGGCATCACAGTAGTAAAATGGCCGAGGTCCAGCATTAAACAGCCAAATTCCACCTCAGAAACCAGCTCTGAAACATTTAAAATCCAACCACTATCGGAGCAAACATGTCAAAACTCCAGCAAATTGAAGATCAGAACGTCTAAAAAATATCAACCTAATCTTACAAAAACAGAAACTTTATATCCCTAAGTTTCTAACAATTAAAATAGTATGCGTTCATGTAAAGTGGGCGCAGATTTTAAGCGATGCTGGGCACCATCTTTAACAGACCAGCTAGCCAACGGTTATAACTTACAAAATACAAAGCAATTCAGCCATGCAGCATTTTGAACCATTTGGCCAAGAAGTGTTCTCTTTTACTAGCTCATAAAATTTCACCAGTCCCACCCATTAATAACTCGGAGCCTTTGAACACTTCAGATCTTTGACCCCCATAATCGCCCGTCTAGTGGGTAGGGCAGACACCATGACCCCACTGTGTGCATGCAGCTTCCTCCCACTGCTACTGCCAACCCAGGCCCTGCCCCCTCAGGCCTGAGTGTCGGCAGAATGCCCTGTCGCTAACCCTTCACCAGCCTTCCAAACACAGCTCTCACACCAACCTTCCTTTATCACTTGTTTGCACTGCTCAAAACTGCTTAACAGATTGCTAAAAGTTTCAACGTCGTCACACTGGCACCCTTTCTACTCTATGATAATCCTCAAAAATGCTCCCACCTCAGGCCTTTGCACCTGCTGTTCCTCCTGCCTGGAAGGCTCTTCCTCAGGCTCCCACGGGGCCCGCTTCAGATTTCTTCAGAGAAAAGCCTTTCCTGTTCACCTCACAGCCACACCACTCGCCCCCCTGCCGCCCCCCTCCCTAGGCCCGGCTCTGCAACCTACCAGGCACTCCTCCAAATTCTAACTCCTTCGTCCGTGTGCCTGTCACTTCACCCCGGCTCTGCAGCCTACCAGGCACTCCTCCGAACTCTAACTCCTTCGTCCGTGTGCCTGTCACTTCACAGGTTCTCAACAATGTAGCTCCTTTTGTAACAATTTCCTCTTCCTTAGAATCGACTTCTTTTAATTTGATCTCTTCTCTTCTTGGACGAAGGCTATACTCTGTAGATGTATAACTACGTTCTTGTGGCAAGTGAAATTTTTCCTAGTTGAAAAAGAAAAAAGTATTAAATATCTGTAGTCAATAACTATCATTAATGCTACCACATTAACTAATTCAGCATCTTAATACAGCTGTATACTAATAAGAATAAATCTGTTAAATTAGATTCAGTCTTAATTTAAGGACAGAATTTTAGAAAAGATTGTAAGAAAATATTACAGTTTTCAATGTACTTCTTTAGAGAAAGTCACTTTAACAAAAAAAATTACCCAAGGTGAAAACGAACACTTCCGTACCTGTGTGTTTTTGTGGGGTATGTCGTTCCTCTCTATGTGCTCAGGCTCCCCATTGTATCTGTAGATGCTATTTCCAAATGGCTTCTAAACGGAAGAATATAAAACATTTAACCACAAGAATCGTAACTTATTAAAAAGGAACATGATGATAAAATTTTACTATTGTGAAATCAACCAACAAAACAAACCAGAGATGTTCACGGCCTTAATGCTGAAGAATCTTGGCCTACTTTTGTTAAAAATGGAATGGAATAAAACTGACCAGAATGTCCCAATCTTCAAAAGATTGGATCTTACAGTATAGATTTCTACATAAGATCTTTCATCTTTTAAACAAAATTAGATTGAATGTTACAATTTCATTGTTCAACAACAGATGCTCTAATAATATTTGCTATGAGAGGTAAAGTAAAAATTGGTAAATTAGTTCATTAATTGGTTAAAAAAAGAGAGGAAAAGACATTCACTGCCTCAAAATAGCCAATAATGGGAAATTAAGAAATAGTGGGTACGTATGGAGTATTACTCCCAGTGCTGGCGGTCTAGTGGTTAAGATTCAGCTCTCACTGCCGTGGCCCAGGTTTGTTTCCCAGTTAGGGACCCACACCACCGTCTGTCAGTTGTCACACTGTGGCGGCTGCGTGTTGCTGTGATGCTGAGAGCTGTGCCACCAGGATTTCAAATACCAGCAGGGTCACCCGTGGACAGGCTTCAGCAGAGCTTCCAGACTAAGACAGACTACAAAGAAGAACCTGGCCACCCACTTCCGAAAAAATTGGCCATGAAAACCCTGTGAATAGCAGTGGAGCATCGTCTGATACAGCGCCGGAAGGGGAGAGCATGGCGCAAAAAGACCGGGCAGGGTTCCGCTCTGCTGGACACGGGGTCACTAGGAGTCAGAATCCACACTACGGCACTAACGACAATGGAGTACTACTAGTGACGTAGAAATCTGAATTTTATGCTGCCTGGTTCTTATTTAACCTTACATTTTCTCTCCCTATGTCCCTTTTCTCAACTCAGTCTTTCTCCTTGAACGCTCATTCTCTTCAAGCAGTGGAGGGAACTTATCAGACTGCACAGGAGAAGTGCTTTAGCTTGCAAAAGATGCTCTAGGCAACATATGGCTGAAATCTGTAACTCTGCTCCTTTATAAGTCACCGACAAATTATAACACTAACAAACCAACAGGAGGAAAACAAATTAAAAATGCAAGTATATTCTTTGGGAGGCCAGGTGGCAGAAGACAGCATTAATATGGTATCAAGTCCTAGTTCACGGTCTAACTGAGCAGTGATAACATTCAGCATATACTAAGTTTACCAAAGTGCCAATGAGCCACTTCGCAGCAAATGGGCCCACCTAAATCCTACACTCTCAGTTTTTCAGATGTCCAATATATAATCTACAGTAACCACAAATGCAGTCCTATAACAGAGCTGGTCAACCGACCCTCAACTATGCTGACGGCAAAGAGACAGAGTACCCACACGGTGAGGCAAACTACTACAAAAGATCACAGTTGGGAGTCCAAAACAACAAAGATAACATGATGCTCAAAGCTACATGCAGCAAAAGTATGGTCTTTCCCATGCAACGCACCACCCTCAACCCCACGGTGGGGACATGAGAGAGCCAGGGCTCTACTGGGGAGGAACAAAGCCAGCCTGTGGCTCTCGGGTCACCAGGACCACAGGAAGGTTACACTGTAAAAATATAATGGGCACTAAATGCTAAAAATGAAAATGTGACAGATGGTAGCATGTAGCATCTGTCCCTTAACCGGAGTCGCCTGATGGTAATGAGCCACTAAGAGACAGTCTGAATGTTCAAACTCACCAGGAATTAGCAAAATGCAAGTTGAAACAGTGAGTTGCAAATCTTTGACATTCATATCGGCAAAAAAAAAAAAAAATTGTCATGATAACAACACTCAGAATGAGAAAATTAGCATTCATAACACTACTGATACTGGTATAGACTTTCTTGAAGCAATTTGGCAATATGTATTAAAAGCCTCAACTCGGCTCTATCCACCTGACCTAGCAGTTCCTAAGGAAATAGCAGATGTTGTATAAGATTATTTGTCTATAATAGTGGAAATTTAGAAACAAAAAAAGCTAAATGTCTATCAACAAGGGGGCTGATTTTAACAATTAGGTTACGTCCATTCGATTTACAGTCTACCCAAACAATACCATACAACTATAAACGTGATGTAGAAAAATATGACGCAGAAGGCTGGTCCCAATATTTTAAAATTTAAAAATCTAACAACAGTTTGTACTAATCTAGTTTTTTTAGATTATTAAAAAATATTTGTGCATTTTATCTAGAAAAGAGGTAATATTAAGTGAATAGAATAAAAGATGATCTTTATTCAACTCTTTTCACTTAAAAATAGTTTCCATCTGGCCTACTATCTAAAATATTCCTCGTGCAAGGTGCTACAGGCTCCGCACTCTCTTATGTCTCCAACCTTCAACTTTGAAAGTAATTCCATTAAAATTACCACCTTTGAATAGGGAAAGTATTCAAGTATAATGATGCTAAGAGAGCAAGAATGTATTTTTATAACACACAGTTATGTCTCATTATTTTATACATGAACTTTTACATACTATAGAAACTTCTTCAGTTCAACCAACAATCTACAGCTATGTCAAGTTTAAACACTGCTTTTTTTTAAGCCACAATATTGAAGAGCTCTCTCATAACTTAAGAACATTCTTTCTCATTGGTATTTAAAAGCATTATGTTTTCTCTTCCAAACATTCATTTTTTATCTAATCTCCCAAAGTCATCACCTTAGATTTGATGTTTCACTGACATTTTAATATTTCCACTGCAAATGATTTGAGCAAATATAGACATAAAGGGGAAGACTGTGTTTTGGCAGACTAAACACTGAATAAGGATGAAGATCTCCCGAGTATGCACACACGTACCAACACCAGCGGGGTCAATTTCACTTCCAACACTTCCTTCCTCATTTCCTTAACGTCGGCCTTGTGCGAAGCGGAGGAGGACCGGCGGGAACTTTTAGGGAGCCGGCCTGGGGACCGGGAGCGCGACCTCGACCTGCTCCCTCGCCGTCTGGAGGGAGAACTGGACGTGGAGCCACTTTTCCTTTGCCTGAAGGAAGTTAGAGGCTAGAGAGGGGGGAGAAGGCAAACAGCTTTACCGCCAAGTCATACACATGCAGGCAGGCCCTAACTGGAAGCGGGGAGCAAAGGCAGTAACTGGGACCATTACTCTCCAACCATCCTGCGACAGCATGGGATCTGAGAACGGGCCAGACGAGGCCCGTGACAAATGCCGCAGTAATGATCCATCTCTCATGAGACAAATGCAGCCTTTCCACTGCCAATTCTTCCTTGAAGGTATTGCCATGAAATGAATGTGTCTAAACCAATTAGCTGTACGTTTTCCCAATAACACAGACGAGAAGAGGTATCATTAACATTGATTAAAACTGAGATGACGGGACTAAAGAATTAGCACACAAACAATAACAAGAATATTAGTCCCACAGTTTCACTCTGAACAAAACACACAGGCCGATCTTGAAAACGAGCACAAGTCTGGATTACTGAGCAGTGTTTTACCTGCCCACGCCCACTCCAAACCACTCCTCCCAGGGTCTCCAGGGACCTAAACCTGCGAGGGGCAACTACCCCCAGGCCAGATCCCTCCCACTCCTGTTTTTGTGTGGCCCAGGAGCTACAAAATGGCTTTACATTTTTTTAAATGATTGCAAACAAAATCAAAAGAAGAATGAAACTTCATGACACGTGAGAATTATCTGAAACTCAAATTTCAGTGTCCATAAATAAAGTTTTACCAGAACACAGCCACATCCACCCCCCTCCAGGCTGCCTAGAGTGCTCTCGCACTGCAGAAACTATACGGCCCATACAGCCTAAAATATTCACTATCTGTCCCTTTATTCAAAAACTCTGCCCATCCCTGGTCTAGGGCACTAGAACTGTGGAGCACAGGCTATGGGTTCAAGAACTGTTCATTACTGATATGCAACAAGGCATGAAATTGAGAACAGGTGGGTAGAAATTTTTATGGCATTTTGACAAAGTAATTTTATGTCTGTTGTATCTCATCATAAAAGTTAGGGTTTTTATTTTGTATGTCTTTTTTTTCATTTGTCTAGTAACTCATTTTAATGATATTTTACGTAAGTATTACACACCATGGATCAGATATTTCAAGGCCCAGGCCCTCTCCAGATATGTTCAGAAGGCCTGGGCCAGACTCAAATCTAATTAATGTGACTCTCTTGAGTAAAGCTTCAGTGTTCGGGGTGAAGCCCAAACCCCTCCAGGTCTGGCTCCTGTTTAACTCTCCGCTGGCCCTCGCCCACCACACCCCCCGAGCACGTGGGGGTCTGTGTGCCCCAACCCCAAGCCTTTGGTAGGCTGCCCCCTGTGGAAGCCACCCCCTCCATCCCCTGAGTTTTCCTATTTGGTCTCAGCACCCAGCTCAGGTGTCACCACCTCTGAAGGCCTTCCCTGACACCCAGTGCCCTTCCCTCACCTCCACGTGCTCCCCCACCAGCCGCGACAAACCTCCGTCACAGAATGCATTCAACCAGGGAGATGACCAGCGTAGGTACCTGTCTTCTCCAGCAGACTGGGAGCCTCTTGGGAAAAGGGCACTGTCCCTCCTTCATACGTCCCCAGAGCCAAAAGCAGTGTCTGACCCAAAGAAGGAGGGCGACCCTGCACCTCCAAACAGCCAGAACTGACGACTGGAAGCTTCAAAACCACACCGATCCTTCTCTCCCGCTTATTATAAACACACTCGGGTAAACCAAAGAGCACTCACCTTGATATCATTCTCCTTCAGTTCAAGTTCGGTGCCATCCTTGTATTTGACAGTGTAAAGCTGGGAGTTGCTGTCATGGCTCAGGATTTCTACTTCAAAGTAAAGCGAACTCCCAGGCCATCGGCCTCTCACCAGCTCCCCGTCGGCGAATTTCCTACTTGGCATTTTTGAAAATCAGTCTGAATGGTTTCAAAGAAAAAAAATGGAGTCAACGCATACACACTTATGTTTGTCTTTTTTCATAGATTGAACACTAACATACAACTCTGGTCAAAATTTTAGGGCCAGAAAGGCCTCTAGAGGAGAGGGTGTACACCCCTTATTTTAAAGGTGAGGAAATTGAAGCATAAAGATGTTAACTGTTTGTCCAAGGGCATAAAAACAGATGGCATGAAATGGCAGAGTTAGGACAATACAGAGGCTGTTCTTTCTGCTACACCCTATCTCATCCAGAATCACTTTACACAGGATGACTTAGCCACTGGGGTACATGTAAGTGACACTAAGGATTAAGTAGGACAACACATCAGGGCCCCAAATGGTTTGCTCTATGCAAAATGCTACCCACCTACAGTGGCCATACTTTTGTTTTGTTTTGTTTTGTTTTGGTGAGGAAGATTAGCCCTGAGCTAACATCCGTTGCCAATCCTCCTCTTTTCTTGCTGAAGAAGATTGGCCCTGGGCTAACATCTGTGCCCATCTTCCTCTACTTTGTATGCGGGACGCGCGCCACAGCATGGCTTGATAAGTGGTGCATAGGTCCACGCCTGGATCCGAACTTGGGAACTCTGGGCCACCCCAAAGCAGAACGCGCAAACTTACCCTCTCCACCACAGGGTTAGCCCGACCATATTTCCAATCTCACAAAGGACACATTTTCTGATTTATAAATTTGCATACAGTCTTACAAAGGCTTTACAAATGTATTTAATTTTTAACAAATTGCCACCTTTATTAAAAACAATAAACTCTACGAAACAGACTAGGGAAATCAAGGATGTATAATTAGCATTACTATAACTCACCAATAAGGAGAAAAATAACTCCAAATCTATAACGAATAGCAAATTTGGGGTTCTTTCACAAAGCTCTCAAGTCTTACAGCTCAAGTCCCAGATGCATACAAGTACCTCTGCCAACCACACACCTGGGCCAGCACGTACCTGGCCCTCATCCCATCTTCTCTCTCTCAAACCCACAGCAGATATCAACTCCCAGTTACAACATTCTTTCCCACTGAACCAAACCACGGCCCACGAAGCCTTGTATAAACAGCACTCTAAGAAGCCACAAGCAATCTGCACGAATTGCAACTTACATGAGGCCTGCCTGCCACCCTTTCTCAAACCTCAACTGATGGTGGGTGGTCCCAGCTCTTGGGTAGTAACGTTCCCCCTCCACTAACCAGCAGATTCACATTCCAAGCGACAAAACCAGCGCCTCTGACCTTCTCCAACACCAGCTGAACCCGCAGGGCCTAGTCTAAGAAGCAGACGGTATGATAGAAAAATCTCTCCTAAGTCACCTTCATCTCACCAACTAAGCAATGCCCGATAATAAAGACACATTCCTCACCTGGCTCCCGTCAAGAGCTGATTATACAACGTTTCAGAACTTCTGAAGACGCCAGTGGAGTTAAGAAAGGAGAAAGTGACATTACCACACCCCTCCTGAGAGCAAGTCTTGCCTAAGCACCACATTTCTTCACTGATAATCACCTGAGGAAAAAGTTCACAAGCTTCACTTGGTGAGATAGAGCGTCTTGAGGCAGCAGATGAAAGAGAACATAGCTACTTATCAGGTGATTAGAGGCTGTCAGTCCATTCAAGAATTAGGTGAGAGAGACGACCTACCTGAGATAGCATCCCCCGGGGGAATGAATTGGTCTGGGCGTGGACTGGGGCGGGG